GAAATATTACCCTCCTCTAATTTATAACTAGTAAACAGAACAGTGTAGTGATTAAGAGCAGCTAAATTCTGAAAACAGACTGCAAAGGTTCAAATCCTGGCTCTTTCCATTCCTAACTATGTACCTTTGAGCAAGTTACTTAATCCTTCTCTGCCCATTTCCTCATCTGTAACACTTTGATGATAATGAAATCTCTTAGGGGTTGTGAGGATTACATAATAAAAGTATTTATATCACTTTTGTGCCAAGAGTAAGGCCTCAAAAATGTTAGTTATTATTACTTATCTCTACCACTGTTATCATCACCAACTTTATCCATATTAAAGTTCTGAAAGGAAAGACAAATATAAAGTGACTTGTCTAAAACAGAGCAAGTAACAAAATCTGTAAGTCGCTAAGTTCCAAACAGTCATTATTAAAATTCAGTGAGTACTCAAGTAACTCCTCTAAGTCTCTAAAAGCTTACGAGGGACCCTCCAAATTAGAGCAGCAGCAAACAGTAGCAAAAATAGCAGAAACACAAACCAAGAATTATTTGCTGTGTTACTGTTCCATTGACTTAAGTATGAAAGTCACCCAACCCAAACTTCAAACTGCTCATCTTACATTATGGAGTTGTTGTGAGATCAAATGAGGTAATGCATTAGCAAACATATCCAAATCATTACAGCTCTAAATAAACGTTCAGGGGCCATGTCTTACTCATTTTTATACCCCTAATGCTTAGCAAAATGTACAGCAGAGGTTATAATCTATAAGGAAACCCATGAGAGATTGTAATGCGAAGAACTGATGAAGATGGGGAAATAAGAAACCCAAATCTCCACCAACTGACAGTCAAAAATGTAGTGCATCTATATAGTGGAATATTATTTAACAATGAAAAAGGGAAATACTGATCTATACAACTTGAATGATCCTTGAAACACATGCTAAGCCAAAGAAGCCAGATACAAGACTCTATGAAATGAAACAGCATAATTCCCTTTATAGGAAATGTACAGCAGGCAAATCTACAGACATGGTTAAGTACATAAGTAACTGCCTTGGACTATGTGTGTGCAGTGGGGGAGGTGACTGCTAATGGATACAGGGTTCCCTCTCTTATGACACTCAGAACTGAGAACCCAGGGCCTTGGACTAAGCCAGTACATTTTTTTATTTTGAGCCAGGGTCTCATTAAGTTGCTAGGTTGCCTAGGCTGGGTTCAAACTTGCTATCCTCCTGCCTCAGCCTCCCAGAGTGCTGGGATTATAGACATGTGCCACCAAGTCCAGCCAAGTTTCTTTCTGAAATGACATTCTAAAAATTGCTGTGGTTATGGTTGTCCTCCTCTGTGAATACACTAAAAACCATTGTATATTTTGTATACTTTATATGGATGAATTCTATGGAATGTGAATTTTATCTCAATATGTGAAGCTGTTCTTAAAAAGATTAAGTATAAGAAGAGAACTGCCAAGCTACAAAATAACTGTCTTTAAACACTTTTTTTTTTTTTTTCTGGTACCAGGGATCAAACTCAGGACCATGCACTTGAGAGGCAGACAGCAGCACCACTAAAAACACTTTTTTTTTAAAGAAAAAAATTGTGAGCTCTGACATGTGAACAAGACTGAGACTAAGGTAGGCACATTAGGAGAAAATACTAAAAATTACCACACCATTACCTCTCTACAGATCCTGTGAAAAACAAATCTGTTATCTTTCCTTTCAAAATTCAAAGGTTACAAATCACCTCCTTCTGCTCTAGTTCAACAGTCTTCATTATGGTCACTGTTTCTGAACTGGAAGACTGAACTTGGTGCTATCAACAACCTTACGGAAAAAACTTCCTATCTTTGGTTTCTGTGCCACTGACATACTTCCTGATTCTTCTCAAAATGATTTACCTATTAGTCTATTATATGGCTCAAAATTCCAAACCTCAAAGCTCTTTCTCCACTATACTACTTCCCTCCCAATACATGTCTACTCACATGTTTTACTACCACTGCAAAATCTACATTTCCTGATTATTCATTTATATAATGACTAAATGCATAAGGTTTAGTAACTTGCCCAAAGTCCTTTGTGATTAAATGACCTTATGATGTTTCAGTAAAATAATTCCCATAGTTTAGAAAAATGCCTGGCATACAGTAAGTATTCAATGTTAGTTATTTTTTAATACTCAACCAGTATCTTGTATCAGGCCATTATCTTACTCCTAATTTCTATCAAACCAACCCCTCTATGCTTGAAAGAGCCTCTACTAATACCTCTACCAATGCCAAATTCACTTATTACTCACCAATACAGATTCTCTGTAACAGTCAAGATACTTCATATTTTTTGTGCATTTCTCTGCCTTTGCACATGTCCCTTCAATTTCCTGGAATAACCCTCTTCCACTTTGAAAATTTTTCTCACATGTCACATATATACCTTTGACCTTGGTTGCACTGTTATCCCAAACAGGAGTTAAGTGGATGTTATTTGGTGATTTTTGTAGGTTGTCTTGTTTGGTTTTGGTTTTTTGAGACAAAGGTCTCAATATGTAATTCAGGCTGGCCTTGAACTCACAGCGATCCTCCTGCCTCACTGCAGGCATGCACCACCATGCCTGGCTGTTTGGTGATTCTGATGGTCATGCTGCATCTCCAACAAAAGAAACTTCTGCTCCTCTTTCAACAACAGTTGAAGCTTTTGAAGAGACCTATGTTTTATTCCCCATGTTTCTTCATAAGACTACATCTTAACAGGCAGCCCAGTACTTTGCAGAAGTACAGTCCACAAATGCTGACTGACTTACTAAAAAATGTTTCAGACTGTATGAAAAGACATTCACTACTTTCTGTTGCCCCACCCATACTTAGCATAGTGAAAGCAGCCGGAATCTGTATTTAAATACTTTTATTCTACACAGAAGAAAAAGGGAGACTATACTAACAATTTTACCTGATAAACGTAAATAAAATAATTATTAAAAATATACTGGCATAATGGTGCACACCTGTTAATCCCAGCACTCTGAAAGGCTGAGGCAGGATGATCCCAAGCTCAAGCCTAGCCTCAGCAACTTAGCAAATCGCCATCTCTAAATAAAAAAAATTTCTAAAAGGGCTGATATGTGACTCAGTGTGAAGGCTCTGGGTTCAATCCCCAGTAACACAAAGACACAAACACACACACACACACACATATTTTTTTAATTCACTCTCAAAAAGACTACATAATGTGAAAAAAAAGTAACAGAATGCTAGCTATTTAGGAACTTAAAGAGTGACTTCGAAACAGTATCATTTATTTCACCCAAACTAATGAACTAAAAAGGCCAAAATAAACATGTTCTGGCTTCATCCAAAAAACAACTCATAATGGAATGAGAAACTCCCCAGTATCTCCAACAGCACAAAGCCAAGAACAAGATTCTCGGTAACTCCAACAGAAAACAAAAAAGAAGAGACAATTCCTCAGATTTATCTAAAAACTAAAAAATTCAATCACATCTATATACTCCACCCAATCGGGGAAAAAACACCGGGAGAGTTGCTGCTTTTCTCTAAGTATGTGCTAAGATCTAAAAAGAATAAAAGGTTTCTCTTACTATTACAGTAGTGTTCCCTGTAAAGAAAGCAATCTGTGGTCTCAAAAAAGCTAAACACAGAACGATGGAAACCTTAACCTGGAAAGGATATTAAAGAAAGAAAGAAAAAAAACCAGAAAACACATGTTTCTAAACCGAAATTTGGAGTCCAATGGTAATCAATAGAAAAGTGAAATAAAAGGGCTTCCACAAGCGGTTAACTAGTGAAACTATTGCTACCTTGCAAGAAGGGTTGCGTACATAACACAATTACATGACATCCACACTTCTTCACGAGGGAACAAAATACAGAAGTAAAAAATAAAGACAAGTAATTGTTAGGAGAAAAAGACAAGAGATACAATCCCTGGCTCTGCTCATTCAGGAATCCAGCTAGGAACACCACAGACGTGTATTACAGCAACCCAGAATGGAAAACCTTTGCCAACCAACCATATAAAAAGTAGAACAGAGAAATGAAAACTATACACATCAAAGCACCAGTAACAAGAGCTTACTCTCTTTTTAGGATTAGGCAGTAAAGAGAAGAATAAGAAGAGGTAATGGGAGATGAGAAAAAATGTCAATGAAACTAAGCCCTGGTATGTTCCCCTACAGATCTCAATTTCAGAGTACACAACTCTTGGTTCTTCCAACTAACCAACCGTGGGCCTCTGCAAAGCAAACTGACCTTAACACCTTTCACGCCACCCGTAGGAAATTAGAGGAAAAACCATCCCGTTAACCTCCCTCTTCACCAGCTGCAAAAATGGAGGGAGTGGGGGGACGGGACACCCTACCACGTGGGCAGGATGCAGCAAACACACAGAACACTAACACGTCCGCATGGAACGGCTGCTTTTGCCCTAATGCCAGCAAAGGGCCCAGCGACAGGATGGGCGGGAATGCAGGCCTCTTGCAAGGGCCTCTTCATCCAGAAGGGCACCCGAAGGCGCAAGGTACTAGCCGTCTTCCCGACCGAAAAGCGCCTCCAAGCTTGAAGGAAAGAACTCGCATCGCGCCGGGGTCGGGGGCTACCCCGGACGAGGGCGCAAGTCACGGACAGACAGAAAGAGACGGCCGCTGCCTTCAGACTCAGCGCCCCGGGGAACTACGTCCGGTTCCCCGGGGCCCCACCTGGGGGAGGGGCAGGAGGCGCGGAGCCGCCGCTCCCCAGCTGAGGGGCAGCAGCAGCTGAGAAGCGCCGCGGGGGAGGGAGGTACCCAAACCTCGAGGCCCGCCAGGCCCTAGCCCCGGCCCCAGGCCCGGCCCGAGCCCCCGCCCCGCCCGCAGCTCACCACACCACGCGCAGCGGCTGAAATGGGAGAGGGCGTCTCGCGGAGGGCAGCCCCTGCCTCGGTCCCGGGAGATGCCCCAGCCCCGCCTCCTCGCCCGCCGCCCCGGCCAGGCCGCGCGGGCGGCAGGCACTCACCTCAGGCTGCGCAGGCCGGGACGGCCCGGCCGAGCCCCCGGCCGCTGCGTGCAACTCCGCCCCCCGCGAAATGTCCCAACCGCCCCTGTTGCGAGCCGCCAGGGCCCGAAGAAGCGCCGAGAGCGGCGGCGGCAGCAAAAGCAGCCAACATCCGGGGCCGCGCACCCGGAACTACTTACCTACCCGCTCATCCCCCCGCCCCCGCCTCCCGCGACGTCGCTACGCTACCGTACAGGCGTCGGTGGCGTCAGGGTCCTCCGCGGTTGTCGATTTACGCGGGATTCCTCCGCGGGGACAAATAGTCCCCTGTGATTTCCCCGGTTCTACCTCCACTCAGCCCCAGTCAACAATTGCGGTTCGCATTTTCTAGCGGACCTGGGGTTCCTACGCCTCAGTTATGTTTGGAGAGTGAGGGTTGCAAAAGCTGCCCCGCAGTTGATCATGGCAAGGACCAGTTGCCTCGGACCCTTTCCAAGGGGCCCATGCACCCCAGGAATGTCGCCTTGTGATCTCCTCCCGCCCTCCAACCTCTGCCACCTCACCGTAGCGACTGGCACCTTAACCTTGACAAGAAACCAGGCTCCCTTTCCGACCTGGCACACCGAGGAGGCTACAGGCCCCGCCAAGGTAGAGGTGGACCTTCCCTCAAAATACCCTTCCTTTCAAAACCTCACTAGGCGCGGGTTCTAGGCCCACCTCTGCCGTGGCCTTTCTTTTGCTTAGTCATAGTTTCTCTCTACTTTAAATAAAGGACTTGGAACTCTAAAAGTCCTTCTGACTCTCAGGTTCACTATCCGGGTTATGGTCCTGCTATCAACAGGTGGAGCATTAAGAAAGGTAGTTCAGGCACCTGTTGGACTTTGGAATTTACTTCTACGTCAGTCTTCACTGATTCTCTATAAACTATTAGCACTGATAGTCTTCCTGTAATTTTACACTTAATTACAATGAGATGTATTATTTACTGTTGCTTCATTAACAATGGTCAAATTCTCCATACAGCACCAAGAACACTTGGACTCAGTAGATGTTCAGTATTTGGATACTGGGGCATTCTTTAGATGAATGCCAGGTTGGTCGGATGAGAAGACTAAAAAGGGCCTGAATGACTTGGCCTTGGAAACTTGTTTTGATCTCAATGGGATCAAACAAAGACCTCCAGTATTTAGAGATCTAAATACTCCATTCCTTCAACAAATACTGAGCATTTGCCCTTTGCAAAACATCTCCTTGCCCTATGTCCTGAGGATATGAAGAACTCACCTATTCCTTTTCTATGTAATACTCTAGCAAGATTCTAAAAATTCATTCACCCATTCATCCAAATATGTTTGCCAATCAGTACTAAGTTTGCTTGATACTACAGTACTTTAGTGCTCAAGATGTATCAATGAGCAGAAGAGAAAAATACTCTCCCTCTTGGAGCTTTCATTCTAGTATGGGGACAAAGGTGAGAAACATAAAGAGAATTTTAAAGTTTGTTAGGTGTTGAGTGCTATAGGAAAAAATAGGTTAAGGGCAATGAGGAACACTGGAAGAAGAGACAGTGAAATACTAAATAGAGCTATCAGGGTGAGCCCCATTTATAATACAACTTTAACTAGACTTGAAGGAATTGAGGGAAAGAGCCATGGAGTCATGGCAAAAGCATTCCTGAAAGTGTTAGAAGCAGTGAAGAGGCCAGGACAGTTGGAAAATAAGACTGGAAGATCAGGACAGAAAGGGGAGTCTTGTAGGCCTTTGTAAGGATCTTGACTAAAATAAAATCACTCTGGCTTGCTTTGCTAAGAGCAGATACAGTGGACCCTTGATTTATGAACTGAATTCGTTCTCAAGGGCTGGTTTAACTCAAGTTGGTCAATTGAAGGCTCAGGTTCCTCTACACAGCCTTCAAAGTCTCTCCTGTATACAGGCAGATTTCAGTGTCCTTAGAGAGACATTGGCCCAAGATTTCTCAATTAACTCGATGCTGGAAAGGATGTTGTAATGTTCCTTCCAGAACTTAAGGGTTAAATCTGTATCAGATCATCTGGAAGCACAAGCAGCTAGCATTCAAGTTGTAACTCAAGACTGTTTGTAAGTTAAAACTAAAATTCCAGTTGTAACCCAAGTTGTTTGTATGTCAGGCAAAGGATCCACTGTTAGTAACTCAAGAGTCCACTAGTAGTAGGACAAAGGTAGAAGCCTTAGGCTTCATTATCCAGAGGCAGGATGATGGCTTGGCCCAGAATGGTAGCAGTGAATAGGATAAATTAAGATATGGGTTGTATACATTAAGAACTCATAGTCTAGTGGGAAGCAAGTGGGTTATATAATTACAATACAGGGTTATATAATTACAATACACTGTGATAAGGAAAATAGTATCCTAAAAAGCAGGCCAACTTTGCCAGCTTTCCTGAGAGAGGATAGACATTCCCAAAGCCCCAAGTTGCTAAGGGAATTGGAAATTCCCAGTTTTTTGTTGGTCTACTGGCTGGATCCTCAGTAACAATAAACACTGGCCTTTTTCCCAGTCTTTTTTGTCTCAAAGCCCACCTTCATCTGAGTGGGATACAGATAGAAGAATACTAAAGAACAGTCTGGGTCATGTATTTAAGGAGATGGACAAAGCTGATGTTACCCCCACTTGAGGAAGAAACTGAGGCTAGTTGTGGGGAGGGGGGTTCTTTGTTTTTGAGACAGGGGTTAGCTGTGTAGTTCAGGCTGCCTCAGCCTCTCAAATGCTGGGATTACAGATATACCCCACCACAGCCAGCTTGGAAGGTTTTCACCTGAGACTAGAATCAAGGTCCTAAAAGTCCCAACCCAGGAATCTTTCTGAGCCACTTGAGTAGAGTCAGCCAGAGGATGTAGTAAAAGAGAAGAAAGACGTTTTTAGACTTTAGGTCCAAGTCTGGAGATTTTGGCTCCCATTCACCACCTCCTCAACTTACAAGCCTTGGGCCACTCTTCCCCTCTCAATCTGAGATTCCAAAATGCTTCTTTAAAGTGCTTGGTCTGGGAGGGCGGGGCATAGAAATGGGGAGAGAAGAGAGCTGGATAGCTAGTTGCCAGAATAGGATGGTGTGAAGGGGATCAGCTTTTACAAAGTGTTAAAAAGTGGAGGAGCAATTAAGTTGTGCTATATATGGGATTTGTGCTGAATTAATAGAGTTTAAAGTTTAGCTGCTCTTACCACAAACGCAGTGGATAACTGTGAGATGCTGGATATTAATTTGCTGTGCTGTAGTAACCTTTTTACTATCTACGTGCATCTCACAACGTGTATGGCTTCAGTACACATAATAAAAATCTATTTTAAAAAAATTTAAAGAAAAGGAAAAGGAGGAGCATACCCTCTCTTGAAAAAACGATTGTGATGGACATAGCAACAGAAGGGATTCTGGAATATTGGGAGAAGGAAAAGTTGCTGGGTGTGGTGGTGCAGGACTATAATCCCAGCACTGGGGAGCTGAGGCAGGAGGATTGCTGTGAATTCGAGGCCAGCCTGGGCTACATAGTGAGATCAAGGCCAACCCAAATTACAGAGAAACCCTGTCTCACAAAAAGAAAAGTTCAAAACCCAAATTGGAAAGGCAGACTAAGGATCAATTCTAATAGTCTGTAACTTACTTCCTGCGTGCCTACATCAAGTTCAGTTTCTTTGAGCCTCTGTTTCCGTGAAATAATAATAGCTGCCTAGCCATGGAGATCCTACACCAGTTATCATAAAACAGTAGTCCCCAAAACAGCTTTATTATGTACATGGTTGAGTGTTAACACAGAAAAAAGGAGTTCACTATCTTGGGAGGTGGGAATGGATTAGGAACGAGGCTGTGGAACAAGAGAATCCTCAAAGACAACATGGTACGTAATAAAGGTGAAGTGGAAGACTAGGGCGTAACCTGCCAAGTGAAGAGACTTGTTAACTATGGGTGCAGAGCAGCAGCTCCCAAGCCTGACAGAAGATCAAGCCCAGCCTTGCACCCAGTACCAATCTTCTGACGTGACAAGAAGCCAAGGCTAGCACCTGATGCCAATCTTTTAGCACAAGCTCAAGTGGGACCACCTGGATCAACTATTAAAAAGGATATGAAAAGACAGCAACAATCAACTTTGCAGCCACTACCCTTCTTATTCTTGCAGTGGTCCATTCTGCTTGCAGGAAGTATCTTTTTTTTTCCTTCAAAGCACCCTTTTCTCCTTGAGCGCTTCTTTTGTACTTCTTTCCTTTTCTTCCTATTTCTGCCCTAAAATAAACAGTAATCTTTCACATTTACCAATTGTCGTGACCAATTCATTGAACAGGACAAAAAGAACCTGGAAAACACTCTGGTCCCTACTCCACTGATAACAAGGGGATAAATTCTTAAGAGACACGGATTGCTCCAAGAGATAAAGGTTTTATTGTTTTGTATTGTTTGCAATCTTTTCCCAGCTTCCTCTCTGTATTATAAATTCCCTGAAAGGAACACAGCACAGAGCTAGGCTGCAAGAGCCCTATAAAAACCTTGATTTGGCACTAGCAGTACTTCAACAGCTGGGTGTTCGACACTTCATGTGACTCATGACCACTTAGGCAAATAATGTTTTTCCTACTCCTTCTCTCCCTTTGTATTTGTTGTAAGAGGAAAGCAAAAATGAGAAATGAATTTAAAATGAGCTGAGATCTGCAAGAGAGAAAAACATGAGGTAAACTCTCCTCTCATTCCCAGCCCTGGAAGACCCTTCAAAATTCCCTGGGTATCTTTACATAATACTTTATGTATTTCATATCTTAGATGCAAAAAAAAAAAACACTGTATACAGATTATTGGGAAGTTCTCAGCACAGCACTACTTACCTACTTAATGACTATGCATACTTAAATAGCATTCAATAATCATTTATCAATTACCTACTCTATACCAAGCATTGTGCTAAATACCAAGAGTCAAAGAGAATAAATAAAAGGAGACATGTAAACAATTTCAATGCAAATTGGTAGAGATTTATACTTGTGCCATGGAAACAGCAGCAAAGAAGCAAGCCTTGAATGTTGAATGGTGTGGGTTTTGCAGGCATCAGGGTGGGGAGCGTCACCCTTAAAAGGTAAGGGAATGCTGGGTCTGATGTGTAGAGACAGAAGCAAGTTTGGATGTAGAGAAAAAATTGATGGGGTGGGGGGCAATGGTGAACAGCTTA